CGTGCATGTAAGCACTGTAAGCACTGCTTACACTTTAAATGAAAGAAAAAAATAAATTTGATCAATCACGACTAATAGGTACATAAAAATGATTTTTAAATTTTAATTTTATTTATAAAATATTTAAGTTATAGCTGGTAGTGGTTTGTAAGCACATTTGATTTTGGGGGACGCGAGAAACAAGGAGCGACCCATACGTACGTAGCCCGACGCGTTGTAGACTGTAGACGTTTTACGTACACTGTCGCTGTCATTCGCCTAATAGAATTTTGAAGTATTTATACTTCAATTTCTTTATTTTCTCTTTATTACATTTTTTTATACATAATTTATAATTAGGTATTCAGGTATAGTGCCTATATTCTAATCACTTTTGAAAAAAAATTTCGCTGCTTACATCTTTTTAATACCCACGCCACGCCACTGAATTTAAGAGGTCGTAACACTGGTATTTGTTGTCTCCGTCTTACAAGTGCATAACATAGCACATTTACGCTCAGCAGAACACGTGTAACTTCATCAGTTTAAAAATTAGAGTGAATTGACCTATTATGAAACTTAATGGTAAGAACATTATCTGTGTTTGTATGTTGGTTTTTTAGGATAGTTCAATTTTTTAGCAAGTTATACGTATACAATATACCATAAATTAAAAATGCTCATAACTCACTTAAAAATTGAACTATCCTAAAAAACCAACATACAAACACAGATAATGTTCTTACCATTAAGTTTCATAATAGGTCAATTCACTCTAATTTTTAAACTGACGAAGCTACACGTGTTCTGCTGAGCGTAAATGTGCTATGTTATGCACTTGTAAGACGGAGACAACAAATGTCAGTGTTACATCCTCTTAATTCTGTACAATTTAAAAATAACAGTTAATTTTCCTTGGTTAGTATAAATTCAAATTTATTACATTAATTGGTAAATAGGATAACTAAGTATCTAACTTTCAGCGTACCTATTGTGGTTGAATATACAACTAATATTGATCATGTTGTAAATATTGTTAAATTTATTATTTTTATTTTTAAAATTGAAATCATTCATCGTAATATTTATATTCCAAAATAACAACATTAATTTGATATAAATAACTAACTAATTGTAGTATAGGTAGTGTATAAATATTGAAATATTTTGTATCATTTATTATAAAAACTTTATGCCTATAATTTAACTTATGTTTAGATGTCAACTTACATTTATAATTATGGCGGCGGCGGCGGCGGTCGTGGTGGCAAAGGCGGTCGTGGTGGTGGCAAAGGCGGTCGTGGTGACGGCGGCAATCGTGGTGGCGGCGGCGGTCGTGGTGGCGGTAAAGCCCCCAACAGGAATAGTAAGTATATATTATCATATGATACCAACTAATTGGTTATTTACTTATCATGGATGTGTTTTAATTTTGATTTCTTTGATTTTATAGAATGCATAGTTTGTTTCAAACGGGGGCATACCGCCACACAGTGCGAGTACGCCAAGCGCGCCGCCGCAGCGGCCACGGATGCTGCCGCCGAGGCTGCGAGTAGAGCAGCCAGGGCAGAGAAGGCTGCAGAAGCAGCAATCTCTCTTGCGAGGAGATTAAGAGATGAGGCTGCCCTGGCTGCTCAGCAGCTGCAGCAGCAGCAGCAGCAGCAGCTACAGCCTGCAGCAGATACAGAAGCAGAACACACAGAAGCAGCAGATACAGAAGCGCAGTAAAAAAAATTAAAATATAAAATATAAAAAAAAAAAAATGATTCGGTGTGTTTTCATTTCCTGATCATCATTATAGTTTATTAATTGGAGTTACTAATTTGTAGGTGTCTTGTAATTTAAAGATATGCGTACATATCTTTAAACGATGTTCAAAATTTAAAATAGTACATAATTACATCGATATTACATGGTGCCTTTAATATTTTTAATCTAATATTTGACATTATTAGATAAATAATCAAACGATCAAATAATAATTAGCTCCATAATAGTAATATATAATATAATGCATATCTAAAATCCTAATGATGGTATAAATATGTTATGTAACAACCACCAAATTTTGAAAATATTAAGGTATTAAGATAGAGTAAGAGTATACACCTGAGTTACTACACTGATGTGTTTAATATAACAAAATTCTAATCGTTGAATTTTGCTAGTACTAGCCATTTATTGTAATAACCTTTCCTGTCATTATATTATACATTTACCATTGGTAGTCAGTAGTCAGTTGTGAAATTTTATTTGTACCTATGTAATGATCAGAATTGGGTAAGTTACTTTTAAAAGGTAATCAAGTTACTTTACTCGTTACTAAAGAGATAAATGTAATTAGGTACTTTAATCGTTACTCAAATAAAATTGCAATGAAATTACTTTACTTTTCAAACAGGGAAGTAACTCATTACTTTCTCGTTACAAAAATAAAATTTTTTTTAAATTTCCAGGCAATTATCTTCTGCAGGCAAATTGTACAAGCAAATTCTTTATAAAACCTATATAGTTAATAGGATCATATAAAATATAGTCTTCCGCACAAGCTATATTCATAGACAACCTATTTAAAAGAAACAAATAAATAATAAATTAATTAACTGTTCTCGTGATTTACGGTTGCAATTAGACATTTCAAATGTCAATCCATTGAAACTGAACTGTGCTGAGTAAAAATTAAATATATATATTATATGTTATTAGATTGGTAAACATAATAATACCGGCATTATACATATATTTTTTTTTTCAATTCGCAATAGGTAGGTAGGTACCTAATAATTCGAAACTGTAACGCATTATTCGATAGAAATTAGTTATTACTTTTAAAAAGTAATTTATTCTGATTCTTGATTTATTCTGTGATATAATATTAAAAATTTAAATATTTTTAAATTAAGCGGCCAGTGGTAATGTAATTTGTTTTTTATTCCAAACCAAACTGATATGATATTTTTCAGCCATGATAGTTGTAGTGATATAAACCGTTTTTATTACGAGCGTCTAGAGACGTCTAGAGCGTCTAACCGGTTTCAAATTATCCCATATTATCCCGCACCGGGATAATGAACCATGTAAATTATATGGTCCAAACATCCCGGTGCATTTTTTTTCACACCGGTTTAGTCTAGCGAATTTCTATACTGTCTCATATGTCTATGCTATTATCTATGGTTTTAAGACCGTGATAAAATCTATAAACATAACCTCAATTGTATGTCCAACATTTAAATTGGTAACCGTCCCTGACCCTTACCGCAATTATATTTAATAATTTGTTATCAAAATTTAACAAATCACGATTATTGATAAAGCAAATTTCTCTATGTTATTTTCTCAAATTTGTATCATTTTTTGAATATTCATTAAACTGAATATTAATGATAATTAATTTCAGCTCTTCCATTAACTTGTTCAACCTGGTAAGTTCATAGATTATTAATATTTTTATTTGTTTTTTATTATAGAGATCCATTTATAATAATTATTTAATATAATATTTTTAAATTTTGTCTACATTTACATGACAGTATTGACTACACTTTTCCTCCTGGAACATCATCATAATTTCCTAGTGAAAAATCTAGATATTCAGATTCTTAAGTCCTTGTAAGATTAATCAACAATTTTATTTAACTTTATATTTATGGCGATTTTTTATCATTGAATTATCTTGAAAAAGTATTAATGTTTTGAAAATATTTTTTTCATAGTTTCAATTTGTCAAAAAAAACGTTTTTATTAAAAAATCATGTTTTTAAATTTTTTCTAAGTTTTTACTTTTTTGAATAACATGGAATTTTAATTTCATTTCCAACGCAGATTTTTTTCTAAGTATTTTGAAACATGCAAATCAAATTTAGGATGAGTAGTTTATGAGTTATAAGTATTTGAAGTTTAGACAAGCGTAGTAGTGGATAAATATTTTACGGGGTACCCCGTACCCCGCCTCACCGACTATCTAAACTTTAAAATTAAATACTTATAACTCATAACTACTCATCCAAATTCGATTTGTATGTATCAAAATACTTAGAAAAAAAATCTGCTTTGGAATATGAAATTAAAATTCCATGTTATTCAAAAAAGTAAAAAACTTAAAAAAATTTAAAACATGATTTTTTAATAAAAACTTTGTTTTTTTAACAACTTGAAACTATACAAAAAAATATTTTCAAAACCATTAATACTTTTTGAAATAATGAGTGTTCAATGATAAAAGAATAGTCCTGTATATAATTGTATGTATGATTACTAAAATTATATAAATATGATTTAGGTACTTCAGTTTGGTTTGAAGAAATACCGAGAAAAATTTTATACGCCTACAATTGAAGAATGAGAATGGAAACTCAATTTCATCTCGAAATACATTTGTTTTCACCCAGTAGTACAATCTTAAACAATGAGCAACACGAGGAACCCTCATGGACAGGTACACAAATTGTATGAAAAAATTAACATTAACAATCTACTTCTCATTACCATTTGTCCATATGTAAGAACTTTAACAAGAGTTGCTTTAAATATGAAATAACTCCTGGATTAAATGATTTTTTTATTTGAATTTTTCAAGACAAAAATGTCTAACTTTGAAACTGAGGCTCTTGAGATGTTATTGTAAAAATTGTTAAACATTTCTGTAAATTTTAAAGCATTTGTCAATGTCCAACACTCTAATTTTGTTAGTTTTAGTAAAAATGTTTAGGACATATGTCTATGATACTTACAATTTTTTGAAAAAAATAAATGTTATTTCTCAGTTATTAGTTGGTTCCGATGTGACTATCAGGATGGATTTCATAAACCTTCATTATCCACTTACTATGTAGATTTTATTTTACATTACTGTTTAAATATTTCTAGGTGCAATATTGACAATAATGAATCAAGGGAGACGAAAAACATTGAAAAAACAATGTGTTACTGAACCTCAAGTTATTACTACCTACAACAATCACTTTTAAAGACTTACAATCTGAAATACGGTAGTTGTGTAGTGTTGCAATATTACAATAATGTGTTATTGGTAGGTTATGATAAACAACAGTATCTAAACTTTTAACTATATTTTTATAAAAGTTATTTTATATTTTAGTCTACATCCTGGGCCTGAACAACACATGAATATACATACAAAGTAAATATACATAATAACTGCTATTTGTAACCAACAACTTGAGGTAATTCTTATCAAACTTCTGATTGGTATTCATCAACACGAATCAGGCATTAAATAAACCTATTGTGTCTGAATCATATACAGTTTAAATTAGTAAGTATAGATATTATAATAGTTAATGTGTATTAATTTTATTTAATTTCAGTTATAAGCATTTATATTATTGTTTCCACACAGCATTATGGCTTTTGAAAATGTATATCAGCTAACAGTACATCATTTATTTGAGCAGTAGGTATCCTCTACGGAAATAGTATGTGCTAGTTTAAAATCTTTTGATTTATTTTGTTTGATTAGTGTTGTATTGACATTGTGTAAAATTATATAGTATATATTATATAAATGTAAGTTTATCCACAATTTTATAATTGCATTTTGACACAACAGTGATATTTTTCAATATAATATCATGATGATCTGTTCTCTGGGAACATTTTTGTAGCCTGCAAGAGATAATTAAAAAACTTATGAAATAGTATCTAAACACTTAAGACCTAAGTTGTCATAGTTATTATTTAAATAGTATCTTGAGTTTTCGTAATTAAACATGTGTACGTCCTAGAGTCTTTCTTAATTGCCAGACATTTGTCATTATCGATTATTTATATCATGTATTTTTATAACCTAGGTATTTATGTTTTGTACTTCTTAATAATTAAGGTCTAGTAATACTTTTGGAAAAAAAAGTAACTTTCACCATTTCATTGTCACCATGATATGCAGCAATATGTAATTAGTGCTTTCATTAAATTTGAATACGAATCAATTAAATCTATATTATACCGATGGGGAAAAACTATAACTTTAGGTCTTGATACCCGGATACCTGGGGTAACAAAATTTATCTTTTTAAATACTGATTAGGATTATCTATTTAACAAATTCCACAAATTATTCTAATCAAATTTTTATTTCAGAAATGTAACTTCATCAAAAATGTATTTTGGAGATGTCAACAATTATGATTACCATATTGATTGTACCTTTTATGTTGGACTGATCGTTGTTGAAACGTCTAGTGAGTATGTTTTTAAACATTAAATATAAATCAAACAAATCGAAACACTTATTGCCATCACACTTGAAATATCAGACTGTCAGTTATGCATGAATAAATAAAACAAAAGCATGACTGGTGTGGTTACAAATGTATTGTGTTTTAAAATGATGTCTAGTGATTTGCCTACCTATGTAAATGAGTGTTGGGATTAACTTATTTTACAAGTTACTGTAACAAGACTAGTTTGATATAGCTAAGAAAATTAATTAAATCTGGTACATTTTTGTGGTTATTTCTTAATTTACTCTGTATACATATTTTTTTCATTAATTCCTAGAAACAATCATAATAGCATTTTGAAAAAACCGTGTAATTTTCTTTTTACATATTATAATACTACACTTGGTACCTATGTGTTGTGTAGAACATTTTCTTAGGATGCAAGCATTATCTTATAAATGTAAAGTTATCTAAAATCTGTGATAATAATCTTATTAGATAGGTGCGTTACCTATTGTTTTAAATACATTATTACATACAGATAACTGTTTATTATTGATATTGTTTGAATATTTCATAATTTTTTAAGTGTTTTTATATTACACCAACACACACATCAGACATTTCTTATTAATGATTACTAATTAAGTAAAACACAAAATGCCGTCCCACTTTGAATCAGACTGCGGACTGTCAGTTATGCACGAATAAATTGAATTAAAAGTCAGATAAGAAATTAAATGCATTACTGGTGTGGTTACAAATTGTGTTTTTAAACCATGTCGGATGATTGTGATGAAATTACTGTTACCACTAGGTTCAACTTATCTTTTGTTACAAGTTACTGTTACCACTAGGTTCAACTTATCTTTTGTTACAAGTTACTGTTACAAAACTAGTTTGAAACAGTTACCTTACCTTTCTATGTAAAGTAATTTATACATACCTACTTAGAGTTACTTTTTTGTGCTAATTTCATCAAATAACTTTATTTTTTAGAACAAATTAAAAATATTGCTATAGCAATTTGACAATACAATGTTTTTTTCTCAATGTGTTTGATATTAGGCTACATGTTCTACTGAAGTTTTCTGACATAACTTATTGAGACATACTGTACCAGACATCAGTCGTTATCTATTATTTATCTTATTGTGATTTGGGTAATGTTTTTAACTTCTCAATAATTAATATCTAATGAAAATGTCCATAAGAAACTAACTCAAATAATTTAATTATAATTTTGATATGCAATTCGTAGCGTGCTTTACTTAACTCTATAGGGTAATAATTTCTATATATTTTCATTTACAAAGAAAACAGTAGAAGTCATTGATTTCATAATTATCAATTCTGTCTTTTTTAGGAATGCAATTTATCGCTATATTTTGTCAACACAAAGAACACGACACCCAGTACATACAGCTTAAATTAGTGAGTACTCATATCATAATAATTGATACCGTATTAATTGTATTTATTTACAGTTATAAGCATTTATATACACAACAATATTACTTTGGAAAATGTATTGGTGTATAAATATGGTATGGAGTGAAATGTCATGAACTAACAACTTGAGATGAAAAGCTATGCTGAAGATACAAGTTCTGACTTCTACAATGAATGGATTGTTTACATAATATATAAAGTATGTTATACTTCTCATACATTAAATATATAAATTAAATACCTGAGTAAAACACAAAATGCCGTCCCACTTTGAATCAGACTTCGGACTGTCAGTTATGCATGAATAAATTAAATTTAAAGTCAAATAATATATTCAATGCATTACTGGTGTGGTTACAAATTGTGTTTTGAAGCTATGTTCATAAATAAAGTAACTTAAGTAATTTAATTACTATTTTGATATGCAATTTGTAGCGTGCTTTAACTTTAGTCTAATGATTACTGTATATTTTAATTTCATCATTTCTTACACAATAAACAGAAGAAATCATCAATTGCGTAATTAACAATTCTGTCTTCTTCAGGGATGCAGTTAATGGCTATCCAGCGACAACACCGAGAACACGACACCCATTCTACACATTCATCATTTGGTCGACAACGGTGCCTGTCTGAGTTCCAGCCACAGTATAAACATACGTTTGTCATGTCTTCGGAATTCTCTAATAGATAGGTCTTTAAATATTATCTATAAGCTTTAGGATCAAACTCTAAACTGAACTTGGAATTGTCCATAAATTTAAATGCGTAATATATGATATATACTCCACAATTGTATGCGTCAATTTGTTTTGGAACATTTTCAAAAGGGCATGGAATCAGTGTTAAGGGTGGACATTGATGTGTGCCGTCACCGTAGATGACATCCGATTTCAATATTTTAATTACTTGATTGAAACGCTCTTTTGATATTCGTTCGCTTATATCATATGGCTTAAACGGGTCCATGATATAACACTGTCTAGTGTTGAAATTTATAAAGACTACAATCCAGTGAGTACGACTAATATTCCATGGAAGTATCACCATACTGTTGTGATTGAAAGTAATTTTGTCATGCACTTCCCCAACTACTCTTTTTCCTAACAGCATACTCACAGTATTGCATGATAAAATGTGTGTGTTTTCTGAGTTTAGATTTTTAGCGTATGACAGCAAACAAATATCTATAACAAAGTTACACACCCACTTTGTTCCAGACAATGAATCAAATTCTGGGAAATCCAGGTCGGTCTTGACGTTAGACTTAGAATTGTCAACATTAGATAATAAGTTACGATATTTTACAACCATATAATCTTTATTATTTGGCATCTTAATTGGTTTATAGTACGCCAAATCTTTGGGGAGCATATTTTTGTGTAAATCCATAGCTAGCGCTGATAGTCGAAACGGAGATTTATGACTGCCGGGTGTCGAAACTGATTTTGTTAAACAATCGTCCAATGGCTTACTCAATTCATGTACAACCATGTCGTTGTTCATAGGCTCATCAACAGTGAACCCAGTCTCATTGTCACATTCTATAACCACAATGTTATTTTTATCTGCTGTAGTGGTCGAAGACTTAGGGATTTTTAAAGACAGTGCTTTGAAAGGACGGTACTTGATGGGTTGGAGGTGTTTGTGTTGTTTTTCTTTTTTTCCCCAACTCTCTGTTTCGTCTAAATGGTTAAGGCTAGACAATTCTGAAATTTTTCTTTTTCCATTTTCTTTAGTAGTACTCTGTTTAGACTTAGTGTCAAAATCAAGCGCACGAGTGCACTTTCCTTTTCTAATATTGTACTTCATTTGTTTGTGTACATTCGTCACACGCTGTCTCATAAGTTTTAAAAACCGGCCGCATTTAAACCTACGGTCGCCTTCTAGTATGTCTTGTTTGACTGTTTTAAACCAAGATTCAACGGTAGCATTACTCTGGCGGATTTCAATGCCATTGCTGAGTTTATTATTCATAATAGGTGTCCACAGTGCTAAGAAAGGTACACACTTAACTATAAACTCGTGTAAATATGATTCATCATAATATTCATTAATGCTTAAATTTTCAATATTTTCAGCACAATTTGAGACTTCAGATTTAACCTGTTCTTTGATTGACTGAAATCTACACAACATCATGGAATTACTCGTGTTGGATTCGCATAGAAATTTATTTATTTCCTCCGAGTGATCCTCACCTTCGTTGTTCGATTCATTTGGCAATTGGTATTTATCATAACACTTGGCTCTCATTGTACTAATGGCATTTTTCGTGTGTACTGTACCATAAGGGGATAACAGTATTACTGAAAATATTTTGAACCATTGTTCAACATCTGTCAAACTGGTTGTGTTAAAAAGTATACATATCCAATCAATGACATCATTTCTTTTCGTTTTTTCTACAGTCATACGATGGTTTTTCTCAGATTTAAAATATGTGTACACATGGTTTACTATAATTTTTGTGTAATGATTTGCACATATATTTATGATGGTGACATTAGATTCGTCGTGGTTTTCAACCAATACTCTGTAACACCAGTTAAGGTAGTCGAATATGGAAGTAAAACCATTCCATCCTATACACAAGGCATTCATTTGGGCATAACTGAAATCTGTCACGATATTTGTGAATACTGGCCAAGTCAGTTTGTGTTTCAAAACGAATGCTTTAAAAGCGTTCAGCCATTGTGAAATCGCAATAATGTCGTGAGCTGAACTAATCATTTCAACAACAGGACACGTGACACTTGAGTCTCTAGGTAATGGGACATTAACAACTAGAACATAGTACAGAACCCTTTTGCTGTTCTTGTCAATTTTCCTGACCACTGTACCAGTTGCATCCAAATACCCAGTTACTGGTTTTTGTTTTTTAATCAGATTTTTTAGTATTTCCAACTGCTCGTTACTATAACAGTGAACGGACGGTATGCCGACATGCTTTACAAAGTTGTTTTCTTTGTCATTACACATCAATACAAGGTCATGAAAATCATCTTTATCATAATCATCGGCACTTATGGCCTCTGATCTGATTTTTCTGACGACATCATCTGATTTAATGCCTTGCAAATTACCACAACTCAACTGAGTGGGTGATGCCATGTCAATAGCGTCCGACCTGAAGGAAAACGCTTTAGTCTTTTTTAGAGCATCTTTGTGTAAGTCTCTCTGAATCCCTTTTACGTGGTTCGTGAGACCATTGTCCTCTGGATTGTGATGGTAATTTAAACCAGAACTATACACTTCAGCCAGAAACTCTTGGTTTCGAAGCTGGACTTTAATTCTAAAAAGCTTACACCCCTCATGGGTACAATACATGTACACATTGCAATGATTTTCAAAATATCTAACCCTTTTTGCATTAACAACGCATGTATTATTCACAGTTCTTATGAGCTTTCTGAACATAATAGGATATTTAGTCTTTTCCAAACGTTTTTCACCGTTAATATGTGTGTATAACATATGAGACCACTCTACACGTGAAAATGTAAAAGTTCCTTCAAAAAAATCACATTCAGAGCTATCGTATTGTTTTGGAAAACAATTTATTGTTTTCAGAGGCAGCACAACACCAGACTTGACCGGAGTTTTCTTAAAATAGGCATTTTTAAGGGGACTTGGCACAGGTCCAGCATTTTTTCTGCATTCCAATTTACTTGGTGTAACAAAATCAGATTCAACCTTTATGCTTTCTGGTAGAATTGGAGTACTACAAGGTATGAGTGGATTTCCTATCATCCAACTGCAATCACTTTGGGGCGATACACTTGTGTATTCAAGTGAAACGTGGTCTTTATGCACTAGTTCAGGCTCTGTGTGATCTGAATATGAAGTGCAATTTTCAATACCAGAATTTTCATCAATATAAGCAGTATTTGAATTCATATTGTTTGTGTCATCCGATGGATTACACAAAGACAAGTCAAAGTGTTTTTTACATTTCCTATACAATTTAGTACGGTTAACATGATTTGCAGCTACTTTAATGTGTTTACATATGGCATTTAGAATTGTGATATTGTAATTTAAGAAATCACTAGACGTATAGTTACAATTTTCAATACATTTCATTAATGTACTATTCATTTCTGACACATTACATAAATCAGTATTGTTCATACTTATAATACGTTTACGAAGAGATGAATTGTTTCTATTGATAGCATTTGCAATTGATTTTTTTAAAGCTTTATCATTTTCTTTATTAAAGATGTTATTGCAAATATTAGTTACACAACTGTCAGAAACTGAGACATTTCCAAAATTTAAATTTGGATATTGATTTTTAATATAATGAGCTACCTCATCCAATTTTTTGTTTAAACTCATTTTTAAGCTTATAAATAATTGTTTTCTGTGTCTGAATTACAAATTCGTTCACACTTTTATCTGCCTGAGTAAGACCTCTTCGACTTTTTGTTGTCTGAGTTTACACTCTTCGACTATTTCGTGTCGGAATTAACAACAATTCGTCGGCACTTTTTGCTGTCTGAGTTTACACTCTTCGACTATTTCGTGTCAGAATTAACAACAATTCGTCGGCACTTTTTGCTGTCTGAGTTTACACTCTTCGACTATTTTGTGTCGGAATTAACAACAATTCGTCGGCACTCTTTACTGTCTGAGTTTACACTCTTCGACTATTTCGTGTCGGAATTAACAACAATTCGTCGGCACTTTAAGCTGTCTGAGTTTACCCTCTTCGACAACTAAAATTATAACTAAAACTACAACTACAACTATACTTAAAACTACTTTTTTTTTTGTTAAATACAACTACAACTACAACTACTACTACCACTAAAACTACTTTTTTTGGGTTTTTTTTTTTTAACTACAGCTAAAACTACACTACTATTTTTTTTAAAAAATTAAAACTACAACTAAAACTACTTTTTTTGGGTTTTATTTTTCTACTTTTTTTGGGGTTATTTTTGTTTTTTTTTAACTACAGCTAAAACTAAACTACTATTTATTTTTTTTTTAACTACACATAAAACTAAAACAACTATTTTTTTTAAACTAC